CATTGGTAGTTTTATTGCCATTAATCATGTTGGAATTGGATGTTGTGGTCCTGAATATTAATCAGCTAATAGAAATTCAAGAGGCACTAGTACGTTTCGTTGTTGTAGTTGAACTACACAATTAAAACATGAGATTAACCTTGTTGTATAAGTCTTTTCTTTTGAACAAACTGTATAAGATATTAATTGTGTGCTTCTACTCTCATTTTTATTTTTCTACTTGATAATGGGCATAGACTAAGCCCAAGGAGAAAAGGGAAAGAAAAATGTTGCGTGATGGAGGTGTTTAATGGAGTTGAGCCTGAGGGCTCAGTATAGAAGAAAGAGAAGACAAAATAGAAAGTTCAATTGTCATCAAGATTATTTTAATTTCATTAATTACGTTCACCTGTTATTTTACATAAAAATGTTTGAAAATTCAATTAAATAGGACTTCCTTTTGGTAGTTTTTGAAACAAGAAGTGAATATTTAGGGTTCAAATAAATGATCATATGGGGAGAGCGCTAGCCTCTTCAGGTTTTAAAAGTGGGTCTGTAGTTGTTAATTTATAACATGTTAAGGAGACAAGTGATAGCCATCGCATGCCAAAATTTTGTCTGTCCTTCAATATTGTTTCATTATATTGCATTTGTTGATATGCTGACACTGAAGTTTATAATTTCATTTTGGTTCTTTATTTCCTGGCAAATTGGTTCTTAAATCGGTATGCTTATCACAAACTAATAGTTTTGTCCACCGAGTTGACTGTCAATCTAGTAGTTTCGTCCACCATATTAGATTGTTGTAACATGTCAGGATCTGTTTGTGATGTGATCTCTTGTGGATTTGATTCTCAGATGAGTAGCAGTGGCAGAGTGGATTGATGCGAGACAAATGGCCAAAGCCCCTTACATGGTTAAACCAAGAATGTAATGTGGTGCTGTGATGGATGGGGATCACAGGCAAGTCATGAAGTTAATCTTATCGTTGTTTCAAATGTCTTTCAGTCTTTGGAGTCTCAGTGAGGGGGAGAGAGAGAGAAGGATGTGTTAGGGCAAGGGAAGAACAGAGAGAAATATGAAGCAATCGGGGTCCCCCAAGGGGAGATTGGGAGACGCTTGACGTTACTAAAAGTGTATATTAGTGGTGTAAAAAGTCAGGTGCTTTCTTTCAAAGGAAATTTGTCTTTTCTTTCTTTATTTTTTTTTCTAGGAAAAAAAGAAAAGGTTGAAATTAAAGAAGGGTATATTTAGATTTAGTCATCTGACTTTGATGATCTGACCTGGATTCGATCGCACCTTAGCCATTTCCCTTTTAAGATGAAAGGCCATTCACAATCGATGCTATGTTTATATCTCCAAAAAAGTACCTGGGAGGGAGCATAATACATGACAGTGGATAGGTTAAAGGGGAAATCACTATGGTCTGAGAGTAAAAAAATTGCAATTACCAAATGAGTTTCATAAGAAGTGGGTGATAACTTACAGGGCAACAACAAGAAATGACGAGAAGGATCATTTGTTGACTTGGCATTGAGATTTTTAGTGTGTTTATATGCCCTTGTTGGAAGTTTACAGTGATTTTCCCTACTTCGAATGCCATGCTTGGTTTTAGTGCAAGACATAACAAAATGATAAGAAATATATGTTAAATAAGCTTTTATAAAAATGATTTTTTCATATTGTAATTATAAATCATGTATTTATATTATTGAATAAGAATTATTAGAAAATCAACAAATTGATATTTACATAATAAATATATTTTTTAATACGTATTTATTAAAAAAAATAATTTTTTTCCTAGATTTTTTATGAGCTGAAAAATGCATTTAATTGCAAATTGGTTTGGAATTTAATCCATGTTATTTTCGACTCAATAAAGTGGCTTACTGACACGTTTGAATAGATTTCTTTTTTTATTTTTGGGGGCCAAATTGGAAATAGATTTCCATTGTATAATTACTGTTTATCATGCCATGCTCGAGGTCCAAAATAAGTCAACCATTTAGTTTATTACCTACTTCCGCGTACTGTTTGTTTATAATCCTTTTTTTAATTAAAAAAATTAATACACCAATTAAGAAATGCAATTATTATGGGAGATCTTATAAAAGCGTGTTTAGTTTCCTTGATCCAAGCAAACTAATATCAAGACTTTGCACAAACATTTGAAAAACAAAACGCGGCATGTTCTACCCTGAAGAAGTCTTTTTTTTTTTTTTAAAAAAATAAAATAAAGAAACACATAGCTTTCAGCGATATTCATGCACTGACACCTTCATTGAATTAACAAACATATCTTTTTTAAATTCTTCGTGGATAAAAACAAGCATAGTGACTTAAGATTCGATAATTAAAGCAGCACTAATGCATTTTGCGCACATGCTTCATGTACTCATTACAGTAATATTTTCTATTGCTTTCAACTATGTGATGCATCTTATTGACTATTTGGACAATCAACAATGGCAACTCATCATCACAGGCCCTAGAGATTTTTCTGGCTTTATTATTTATACCTGTTATTAGTGTAAAACAGAAACCAGGTTAATTATCTTTAATTTGAAATTTTTTTCTTGATATGATTGTCTAACTAGGTTATATTCAAGTATTGTTAGGTCTAATTGAAAGTAGTTCCTCCAAAGAGATTTTTTATATTCGAATCGAACTTGAGACGTGATGTTAAAGCAGCTAAAGCTCATTTTATTAAGACCAATACCTGCTAGTATTTTATTTTACATGCTTGATAGATTTTCAGAAGGGAGATATTTGTTTCTTTTAAAATTTGGAATACACAATAGTGATACTAACTCCGGATCTTAATATAAGAGTTAGTAAAGAGATTGAATTTAATTATAAGACCTCAATTAACTTCTTCCAAATCTATAATGTTTTAATCTAAAATACTCCTTTTTTTTATTGAGTCTAAAATACTCTTATTTATTGAAAGGGGTTGCCACTAAAAAATATTTCCAATGCACATAATTAAATATAGCAGTTTAGAAAGATCAATACATTTGTTATAATTAATTAACTTCATTAATTTTTTATTAGTTATCTAATTTTTATATTAACCAAAAAAGAGGTTACATATAATATTGCAAAGTCTACAACTATAATTTTGACATCTTTGTAACAGAAACGCGGGATTAGATTCTGCACCAAATAAAAGTAAGCCTTCGTACCAAGCATTTTCTATTAATTACTCCTCCGGTCCTAATTATAAGACCCAATTGACTTATTTGAGGAGATTAAGGAAGTAAGTTAAGTTGGTTATTTATAATAAATAAGTGTTGTCATTCCTAAAATATCCTTGCTAATTAAGTATATTGGCTAAAACTATCATTATTAGAAGGATTATCTTGGAAAAAAATACATAAATATAAGAGACAAAATGGATTGGGTCTTATAATTAGGACCAAATAAAAAGTTAAATTGAGTCTTATAATAAGGACCGGAGGAGTATTAATAATGTAAATCCCCCTCATAGCTTCACTGACTGCAAATTTATCTTTGACCGGTTTAATAACAAACATCGATTTGTTTTATTTAGATCTATTTAAAGGAAATAAAATTCCTAAATTAATTTTATATTTTGTTTTGGATTCGACGTTCTAGAATCTTTTCAATCTAGGCTCCTAAGAAAATAATCATAGTTGAATACTATGTTGACACTTTACACTTGTCATCTCTGTGAGAATATAGGATGACGCTTTCTTAATTTGAGAAAAATACACGAAAATACCCTCCAAATACACAAATTTTAATTTTTTGTTGACCCAAAATAACCTAATTATTGCGAAGCTTATAGAGATTAATTTGGAATCAAAATGTTATAACAAAATTATTTAAACGCCTTTAATTTGAAATCTCTAAAAAATGAAAAAAAAAAATGAAATGACACTTTTTTTTAATAAGAAACAGGTAACAACTTTAACTTAGGACAACAATAACTAAAATAATGACAATTGATTTACCAATAATTTTATTTAGAACAATTAGGCTGCAACAACAACAACATTTTATCTTATCAGGTGGGGTTAGCTACATGGATCGCATAATATTAATAAGATCTATCAACGATCAAATTTTTAGTTAAATTGTTAATAGAAAGATTTCACTCAATAATTTTATTGATTGTTCTCTTTATTTTTTTCTATTTTTTTAAAAGACTCCATACTATTTGATCAACATTTTTTAGTAGTACATTTTAAAGCCTTCTTTGAATATGGCCAAACCATCTTAAATGATTCTCTATTATTTTCCTTTTAATAGAAGCCGCTCCAACTTTTTTATATCTTGATTTAGAACAAATGAGTTACTTTAAATGAAATAATTCTAGAACAATTTTTAAGACACGGAATGAAGTCATTTTTAGAAATAATTTTTTAATTGCATTCCTTCCTTTTTGATGTTTGAAAAGATTAATTAGAAGTTCACGCGCAAATTTTGTTGGGGAAATTTCAAGCACATATATTGATATTTATTTTTGACCAGCAAGTACGCATATTGATAACAAATCAATTCTAAAACAAACAATCGATGAGGCCTTTCCAATGTTTTTTTTAATGCAACAAAATACCATGATGTCCAGCCAATGCCGATGTGCCACGTTCTTGCATCTCATTGGCTAACACGTCACTAATGACATAATCGTAGTGACGTCATCCTCCTTCATTCCACCCCAATACCTCCCTCCTTCCCGGGCACGCAACCCCACGATCCACTCCCTTGGGAAATCCTAACCCTTGGTGCCTCACACGCACGTGAAAGCACGTGTAACTTTAAGAATTAATCTCCCGGGGAATTTTCCTATGGTCTTCCTCCGTGTTTCCGCCCATATGCCCAATTAATTTAAATTTTAAAAAAATATAATAAAATAAAAGAACCATCCAAAATTGGGTAGGCCTGGTCGCTGCCCGCCAGAATGCCTCCTTATATTCTCCCTCTCCTTCTCTTTATCTTCTTCTCCAAAACCCAACTCTCTCTCTCTCTCTCTCTCTATCTCACACTTCCCTTAAGTACTTTCTCATCTTCTTCTTCTTCACTACACAGTACTTCAGTCTCACCTTATACAAAGGTTTTGCTTTGTATTATGAGTGGTTCAGTTATGGAGAATCTGGCAATGAAGGAGCTAGAGAGAGGGCGTGAACTTGCTAACCAGCTTCGACGACTGATCTTTAGGTCTGAGGATGGAGAAGATGATCATAAGACTAAGGGCTTAACGACGTCGTCTGCTGAGGATCTTGCTGCGAAAGTGCTGGATTCTTTCGCCAACACACTCTCTCTCTTCAACTCAAATCGCCATGTTTCTGCAGATCCCTCCTTGTCTTCCTTCTGTCCCTTGCCTGCTCACTCTGGTGACTCTCAGGAGAGCTCTAAGACCAGAAGCACCTCCACCACCATTAAAGATCCAACAAGATGCACTCCCAAGAAAAGGTACTCTCTCTCTCTCTCTCTGTGTGTGTGTATATATGTATATATGAACCAGAACCATATATACTTCATCCCTTTCTCTCTCTCTGATCAACTTCCCCGCCCTTTGATCCATTTCTTAGATTTTATATCGATCTTTTATAACTGATTGACTTTCAAGTCTTAGATTATTTGTTGGTATATATCTAGGTGTGTTACTTTATACTCCATATATATGTGTGTGTTGTCGGTATCGGGTATATATAAGTTTTAATATTGGAGTTCATGCATGTTACCGCACAGAATAATAATTAAGGAGCTAGTTAATTAAGCTAATTAATCACTCAAGTTGCTAATAATTAATGAATTTGTTTTTTTTTTTTTTCTGTTGCAGGAAAAGTAGTGCCCAGACATGGGAGGAGGACACCAAAATGGGTCCAAAGGAAGATGGGCATGCGTGGAGGAAATATGGCCAAAAAACAATACTCGATTCTAAACACCCCAGGTTTCCATCTAAACTTGAAGCTACATACAAATCACCCTCCTATAACTTCTGCTTTTATCTGTAAAATAATGACCAAACTGATAATAAAGAATTGTTAAGCACAAAGCTCTTAAATTTCATGATACCCACAAGCCTTATTTATACTTTTTGTTACACGCATATGACTCTGATCTCAAAATTAAGAGTCATCTTCATTAATATATATGAACTTCAGGATATGTATTATATAGTTTCCCCCCCTTAATATCACAACCTTTCAAAGTTTTCCAGATAAGGAAATCTATTTGTGTATCGGTTATATATGATTTAATCTTTCCTTTCTTACTAATTAATAAATTTTCTTTCCATATTAATTCTCCCACTGCTCTCAACATGCACTAATAAATTTTTTTAAAAAATATGATTAATTAAATGCAGGAACTACTTCAGATGCACTCACAAGTATGACCAAGGATGTGAAGCAACAAAACAAGTTCAGAAAATCCAAGACGATCCTCCTCTTTACAGAACCACCTATTTTGGCCACCATACTTGCACCAACCTCCTTAATCCTCAGGCCTTTCTTGATTCCCATGATGACCTTAATTCAACCTCTGCTTTTATTCTCAGCTTCAACAATAATATTATTACCACTACCTTTGACCAAAAGCTCAAAATCAACAATGATTCCTGCTCTTTATTTCCATCTGCTGGTTCTTCTGTCAAAAACGAGGATGATCAGCACTGCCACATCAGCAACATCGTCAAGCAAGAGAAAAACAATTACAATGATAATGTTAATGTTGTTCCTTCATGTTCATCCAATAATGATTGTTGCCTTGTGTTTCGTGATGAAGAAGAAGCAGTTCTTCCTTTTGGATTTGGTGGTGATGAAGTGGATGCGCTTAATTCTGCTGTACTTTATGATCCTCTCGTGTTTGAAGATCCCTTCTTATTTCAGATGATTTGATTTGATCATTTGAATCTTTTTTTTTTAACTATATTATGAGTTACAAGGTTAATTAGATTCATGTCCTTGAAACATTTAGGTCTTCGGCTTCATCAGTAGAGGATAATTATATATAAATAGTGTCTACTTTTGTTATGTATTAAGAAAAGGACAAAAGTGTGTAATTTCTTGGAAATTTTGAGAATAAATGTGCTCTTTACGCTGTTAACACACTGGTTGGATTAGTTTGGACCATTTGATTCCCTTTTTTTTAATACTTGTTTTTGATGAGTTGGTATTCCATTCTTGAGAAGGGATCGGATCTCTTCACTTTTCTCTTTTTTCACTTCTATTTATTTTCATCTCAATTATTAAAATCAAAATTTGAAAGGTTGAGATTTCATATCTTATTATATATTTTTAGTAGTTTAATTTTTTTTAAAAAAATAAAATTTATTTCTTTTTCTTGCAAAAAACTTTGCAATGTTTATATTACTGATATTTTTTAAGACGTCACCATATCAACTACTGATTGCTCAGTGACATATTTTTTGGTCATAAATTCTTATTTCTGTTGCAACAGAGTTATTCCATATATATACACACACACACATTACATCTTATCATTATTCAATTGACTAATTTAAAAAAAATTAAGAAAATTACTAAATTATTTAATTATAACATATGTTATATAATCTCTCTAAAATACATATGGTTCATTAGATTACGTATCAATTTATAAGTGTTTGAGAAAAATAATAAATATAAATATTTTAACAAATTTAATAATTTTTTATTTTTTTCAAATTAGTATAATATATAAAAAAAAAGTTATATATCATATGTACTCTTCACACTGGTACATTCCTATTGGCTACTGTAGAAAAAATAAATATCGTCAACAGGATATGTATCCCTGTCGACATCACATCCTTTGTTCTTTTGTTTTGATAAGCTCAACGTCACATCCTTCGTCTTTCAAGCCCCCTGGACAAGGCATGAAAAATTTCAAACCCCACCATCATGACATTATAATTTTTGAATTTCTTTTTTAATAAATTACTTTCATACTTAATATTTTTGTTACCCGTAAATAATTTGAGCACAATCAGGTTTTGACTGTGTGGCTTATATGGAAATCAAATAAAGGTTAATGGGTAAATTTGTTCTAAATATTTTTATTTAGGAGTACTGAAAACTCAAAAGTTTTTTTGATACGAATTTGTCTTAAGACACTAAGAGTTTTGATTCTTAAGAGCTAGGCAATTGGAATTTTTTTTAAATGTAAATCTATCCAAAAATTTAAAATCGTAATAATTTTGCTTCTTGCTGCTAAAAAACTAAAGTTGATATTTGAAATAGTGACATTAACTATTAAGATCATGGTAATGATAGAGGCGTATTTTTTTTTGGACCAGTATGATGGAGGTGTATTTAACCAATTTATGATAGGTAAGTATATATAAGTTGTAACAACATTGCTAATTGATTGTTAATAAAACCTTTTTTTTTTTTTCAATTGATGAATTGAGTACCTGGTTCGCAAACCATGTGACATTTCAAAACACGATGCCACATGTTTCAATAGGGGTACAAATTGCTTCACATTATCAAACTTTAACGTGTTAGTTGCTCTTTTATGAATATTTTAGAGACAATATGTTATTTAACCTTAAATAAATTTAAAGTTAACAGTCAATATTATTATTCATTAATCAATCAATGATATCGTAATAATTTCGACACTTAAGAAATGACGAATTGACAATATATACTCTAGCATATATTCATCTGGTCCTATTTATAAGATAAAAAAAGAAATTTTTTTAATTCTATTTATAAGTCACTTCATTAAATTTTTAACATGAATCTACTATTTTGTTCTTCATTTATTATAGTTTAGATAGTTATTTCTTCAAAGGTATATATATCAAATAGGAATAAAGTTAGAAAGTTATATTTTAATAAAGAGTAAATAGTGTTTAAAATTTTTCTCATTATGCGTGATGTTAAAAGTGCCTATCATCAGAGGAATAGTTTGAGGTGTCCATTGCTCCTCGTGAAATAATGAGAAGGCAAAAATATTTTTGAACCCAACTTAGTAATACTCGAATCTTAATAATATTAAATACTTAATAAAAAATAAAAAGCCATAGTGACAATAATTTTAAAAGATAAAGTACGTGAACTGTATCTGGTCCTATATGTGCTTTTCACCTTTTCCTCGCAACCAAATTAGAACTTCTCTGGTGACTAGTTGACGTAAAAAGACAAAAAGGAGAAGAAAATTTCTACTCCTTTCAATTATATTATTGTTTGACGAAGTCATTAGAATTTCAGTACAAGGATCGTAAATCTTTAGCCTAAATCTCATTTATTAACCTAATCTCAAGCTAAGTTACTTGGCACTGTAATTAGCAATTAATTACAGTGAAGTAATTAAATAAAGTGGGCGTGGTTTTGGGGTTGAACAACAAAGGACACCGGTCTTGGCTCTCCTTCGCTTGTCCATCAGCAATATATTTATGCATTTATTTTATATCCATAATATAAAAATTTTAATAAATGAAATTAGAAAAAAAAGATTAAGTAGGAAGAGTGGTGAAAGTTGAATTGGAAATATATATGAAATGGATTAAGTAGAAGAAAAGTAAGATGCACCGCATTTAATTAATTATATGATGGGTCCAAGTGTTGTAATTTGTTTGATACATAGCTGTAATTAACTCAACTAGCCAGCTGGTTTTATCTCAGCTCCAAGGATATATATAAGTGCTTCACATCATCACTAATCAAAAATTGATTGAGTTAATTATATATAGGTATCGTCAATGATCTATTGATCATATTTACAATATATTATTTTAATTACGAAATTTGTTTTGACCTAATCATCAGCTACTGATAAATAACTTATTAAAACTCGTTTTAATTGAAGAATGAGAACACCAAATCCTAAAAAAAATTAAAATTTAAAGATTGATTTATAGAAAAATTATAAAATATTAATATCACAACAATAAATTTAATTTATGAAAATTGAATCTAAATAGTATAAATTGGAAAGAAGCTAAGGGAAGAAAAAAGAAACTAAAGTAGGCGAAAATGATTGTATTTGCATAATCTCCCATTTTGCAATTCAAGGCCTTATTTTGTGAGAAACCATATACTTAAAAAAAAAAAACACAATTATTAATTAAGTAGTAATAAACTAGCCTTGTGTATTATTCAAAGACCAAAGTCATGTCCAATAGAATATTAAAGATTCTTTTCTCACACGTCCTCATTAGTTGTACAATTTTCCAGCAATGGGTCACACCTCACTAAAGACAAGACTTCTTTCATTCACAACAATTATTAATTTAATTTGTATATTCGTCCAATTGCTAACTGGCTATATCGTCAATTTTATTTTTTTTTAAAAAAATTTATAACTTAATGTTTTCATTCCGCATGGTTATTGGTTAATTTGCCAATTGAGTTAATAAAAATTACTAAGTCAAGCCCATGACTTAAATTAAGAACTTTCAACATCTTTGATTTTCAACATGAACGAGGAAAAATACATGTTCAATAACAAATGGTTAAATATTGAAAAATATAAAACTTATAATTGAAATGAAGTTAACATGACACTAAAAAAAAATATGTCACCTCATATATTTCATTATATCTAGAATAGCGTTAACCACTTTTACTTGGTCGCCAAGAAACCATTCTTATATTTTGTGTGTGTTTATTTCCACAACCAACGCCCATTAGCATAATTTTTAATATATAATTGCTACTTTTAGCTGTAATTAGTGAGACAACCCACTCAAGATTTGCATATTTACGTATACAGGTGAAATGGACAGAAACTAATTTAATAATTTTTTTTCCGGTTTGCTTTACTTTTTTCATTATTCTAAAATCAAGAGTATACTCTTCTGATCCTAAAGTCTCAGGTATGTTATTATTTGGAAAGAAGTTTCGCATTAGAAACCTATTTAGTAGTAAATAACACTAAAAACTTAAAAGAAAATAAGACTCTTAAGGGATTAATCAAAAGAATAAATTATCACGTACTTTATCTTTCCCACTAGTATTCATATTCTATGAAGTTATAGCTTTAGACTAAATTTGAACTTCAAAGAATAATAACCAATAATTTTTTTACCAACAAAGAACATATATATCCTTTCCAACTGCGTTGATCTAATAATAAGTTGTGACTTTTAGTCCCCTTGAGTAATTTTCATTTTGTTATTAGTAATGTGACTAATATCTTATTTGATAATAGTTCCATTGTACTTACGCTAATACAAATAAATAGAATGAATGTTATAAACTATAATTAAAAGTTTCCATTTGATGGAAAACATCAAATCTAACAATCATGGTACAAGTCAATATCAACTTCTATTCTATCTATAATTTAAAATCTATAGGAAGATAACTTATAAGATATACATGAAATCATACTAATATACTACTGTTTCGGCCTACATAAAACCTGTGTATGAGTACGTTTAAACACTATCTCAAACAAGTTATATATATATATATATATATATATCAGTTTATAGATCAGATAAATTAACTTAAAAAATGATAAATATAAACATTTTAAAATAATTTAACTGTTTTAATCTTTTCAAATTAGTCAACTGTATATCAAGCACTTGAGCTAGTATTAATAAATCATGAACAAAATGACTTACAGCCAGATTCTATGTGAGGATATATAGCTCATAATCTTATGTTTTGTAAACGGGTCGACACTTAAAATAAATGCATAGACCACTTCAAAATATTTGCTGATTTGGGTCATTGATGATGCCTCTGTCGTTAAAGCACTCAATTAAACTAGATCCTAATTAATTTATAGTTTATGATCGACTTAGGTCATTACTTCCAAAGAGCAGTTATTGGTTTCCTTAGGTAAAAATTTAGGTGATGAAAAATACAATAAATTGGACCTAAAGTAAAATGCAAAATTCTAATTCTAAATGAAAGATGCAAATGTCCTAAAATCTATATGAAAATTAAATTAA